GGGGGACTGCTGGCTCATTCCTGGCGGCCTCTCCGCCGGGAACTTTACATGCACAAGTTCACCCTCACAAACAACTACAGGTGCTAGGCTTCAGGTACTTAGAGATTCACTTCCAAACAGAAACCCCACATTCATATCTTCAGGTAACACAGAGTACATGTCAGACTTAATAATATTACTGTAGCGATAGTTTCAAAGTGTTTGCTTTATTGTATATCTCATACCATGTCTTTTGGTTGTGCTGTTCTTTTTTTTTTTTTTTTTCATCTCATTGCAGGTGATGAAGCAGACTGAAAATGTTTTGTCATTGTCTCCTTTCTATCTCCTCTTTCTTTCATCTTTTGTCCTTTTTTTTTTTTCTTTTTCCTTCTTCTTCTTCTGTTTTTCTGTTCTACTTACATTGCAGTGTCCATATGAACTGTAAAACTCCCTGCATAATTATAATAAAGCAATTTATATGCATGAAACAAGTGGAGCAGTATGGCAATTGCCATACCGCTACACTTGTGAAAGTAAAATCTGTTGGGCTCCTTTTGGCATCAAGACAATTATTCTTATTGCCACCTTGCCAGACAGGACACTGTAAAAAAAAAAAATAAATAAGTTGCTGCCTAACAATTTTAAACCGTTCCAGATGATCCAGCAGCAGCAGTAGATGACTTAGAAATCTTTGATCTCCTTCTGCTATGTCAGGCATGAAAACACCAAAAGACTGAGTAAAAAAAAAGATCTTACGATCAGAGAAATGTTTGGATGTCAAAGCACCTTTGTCATGAGAAAAGGTTTGAAGACAGTTGCTTCAGTATTTAATTACACATGCAGCACTTTTGAGACAATCAGCTCTGAATCTGAATTTAAAAGTAGACACAAAATGACCATAATGACATCAAAGCCAGTCTGCTGACCTGCTCTGCAGTCTGTGAGCTTGTACCTCATGCAATTTTAATCCACTTCGCTACCTTGCAGCCTGCCTCTGATCTTATTTGGGGAGGTTTTGATATCATCATTGTGTAGAGGAGATGGGGAAGGATGAGAGGAAGAAATAAAAAGATGATTTGCAACGGATACAGCCGCAATGTTTCTGTGTTCTCAATCTGCTAAGTGCATCGATCACTTGGTTTGCTGCTCCTCCCCCCACTGGGTCTGCAGTATCGGAGCTTTGTTTCTTTTTGTGGCCCAGATACAGAAAGGCTGCTCCAGCTATTGCATTAAATAAATCAAATAAGAAAAGATTTTTCCTCTGTCTGGAACACAGAACTCCTGGTATACATTCTTCTCTTATTGTGTCTCTTATCTACAAGGGCCTGCTAAAGTATCCATACACAGTGAATGTTTTCTACATTTTATTACCATACAGCACAAAAAATAAAAGTATTTAATCAGGATTTTATGTGAAAAATGCTCACAAAGTAAGAGTGGAAGGAAAATGGTGCCTTCTTTAGTATGAGACCCTAAAGTTCATTTGTACTGCACATCTATAAGCCAGCCAATTTAATGTACATTACAAAAATAAAACAGAAATGAAAAACACATAAAATAAATAAATAGTAAAGGTGGGTGAATAAAAGCTGGACTACAGGCAATAACTAATAATGTTTCAGTAAACAGTTAAATAGAAGAATAAAATGCAACTCACAAATGGGTTTTAAATCTTGATTTAAAGGAATTTAGGTTCTCAGCATTTTTAGTCTTTTGGAGTTCAAGGTAGATTTTTTGGAGCGTAAGAAATAAAAGCTTCTTCTCATTGTTTGGTTCTGTGGGTGTGCAGAGTAGACGAGCTAGAAGCCCTGAGAGGTCATGGTGGTTGATCCACTGAAAATAATTTGATAATGGTATTTTGGTGCTAAGCCATAACACAGAGCAAAAATTGGCTGAAAAGACATTGAAAAGACTATATGATTTACACCCAAAAAACCTCTACATTTGCGTAGAAAAAGGTAAATGTGAAAATCCGTAATTTTCAGATTGCCGAAAAGAAGTTGAAAACTGGGTTTTTAAAGGAAAATTCCGGTTTTTAACACTTTTAGCCCATTTTCTGTAGTGTCCAGGATGAAATCGAATGATCGACACCAAAATTTTGACGATTGGTCCTGTCTCTGCTATTGGGCTCATGCAGAATCCCCCCCTGGCTGCTTCAGAATGGCTTCCATAGTGCATGTCCGATAATGTCCTTAAAACAACCTTAAACGTTCTTTTTTTAAAATATGCTACTCACCGGGTCGTCATCGCTGTTCAATGACGTTCCAAAAAAAGTTTTGTGAAGAAAAACCGTTCCTGTCTTGTTTTATTTAGCATTTTACAGCATGGTGCCTGTATACCTGCTAATTGTGTGTAGCTGTTAAGTACAGCAATATACCTGTGATCCATTTGTGTTATTTTGTGCAGCAATGTGATAAATTAAAACAAATTGTCTAACTGTGAAACAGTCACACCTATTTTAACAAACACATCTGTAAATAGAGGCGTGCATTTGCATTCAGACTCCCTGAACCAACACTTTGTAGAGCCTATTGCTGCTGCAAGTCTTTGGGCTATGAAACTATCAGCTTTAAACATCTAGATGCTAAAATCTTTGCCTTTTCTCTGAAAGATCAAGCTAGATATGATATACAGGTGCTGGTCATAAAATTAGAATATCATGAAAAAGTAGATTGATTTCAGTAATTCCATTTAAAAAGTGAAACTTGTATATTATATTCATACATTACATACAAACTCATATATTTCAGATGTTTATTTTGTTTAATTTTGATGATTACAAATGACAACAAATGAAAATCTCAAATTCATCATATCAGAAAATTAGAATATTACTGAAGACCAATAAAAACAAAGGATTTATAGAAATGTTGGCCAACTGAAAAGTATGAACATGAAAAGTATGAGCATGTACAGCACTCAGTATTTAGTTGGGCCTCCTTTGGCCTGTATTACTGCAGCAATGCGGCGTGGCATGGAGTCGATCAGTCTGTGGCACTGCTCAGGTGTTATGATAGCCCAGGTTGCTCTAATAGTGGCTTTTAGCTCTTCTGAATTGTTGGGTCTGGTGTATTGCATCTTCTTCTTCACAATACCCCATAGATTTTCTATGGGGTTAAGGTCAGGAGAGTTTGCTGGCCAATTAAGAACAGGGATACCATGGTCCTTCAACCAGGTACTGGTAGCTTTGGCACTGTGTGCAGGTGCCAAGTCCTGTTGGAAAATGAAATCTGCATCTCCAAAAAGTTGGTCAGCTGCAGGAAGCATGAAGTGCTCTAAAACTTCCTGGTATGTGGCTGCGTTGACCCTGGACCTCAGAAAACACAATGGACCAACACCAGCAGATGACATGGCACCCCAAACCATCACTGACTGTGGAAACTTTACACTGGACTTCAAGCAACGTGGATGAAGTGCCTCTCTTCTTTTCCTCCAGACTCTGGGACCTTGATTTCCAAAGGAAATGCAAAATTTACTTTCATCAGAGAACATGACTTTGGACCACTCACCAGCAGTCCAGTCCTGTTTCTCTTTAGCCCAGGCAAGACGCTTCTGACGCTGTCTGTGGTTCAAGAGTGGCTTGACACAAGGAATGCGACAGCAGAAACCCATGTCTTTCATACGTCTGTGTGTGGTGGTTCTTGAAGCACTCACTCCAGCTGCAGTCCACTCTTTGTGAATCTCCCCCACATTTTTGAATGGGTTTTGTTTCACAATCCTCTCCAGGGTGCGGTTATCTCTCTTGCTTGTACACTTTTTTCGACCACATCTTTTCCTTCCCTTCGCCTCTCTATTAATGTGCTTGGACACTGAGCTCTGTGAACAGCCAGCCTCTTTAGCGATGACCTTTTGTGTCTTGCCCTCCTTGTGCAAGGTGTCGATGCTCGTCTTTTGGACAACTGTCAAGTCAGCAGTCTTCCCCATGATTGTGTAGCCTATAGAACTAGACTGAAAGACCATTTAAAGGCTTTTGCAGGTGGTTTGAGTTAATTAGCTGATTAGAGTGTGGCACCAGGGGCCATCAATTTTGAACCTTTTCACAATATTCTAATTTTCTGATATGATGAATTTGAGATTTTCATTTGTTGTCATTTGTAATCATCAAAATTAAACAAAATAAACATCTGAAATATATGAGTTTGTATGTAATGTATGAATATAATATACAAGTTTCACTTTTTAAATGGAATTACTGAAATCAATCTACTTTTTCATGATATTCTAATTTTATGACCAGCACCTGTATATCATATCTAGCTTGATCTTTCAGAGAAAAGGCAAAGATTTTAGCATCTAGATGTTTAAAGCTGATAGTTTCATAGCCCAAAGACTTGCAGCAGCAATAGGCTCTACAAAGTGTTGGTTCAGGGAGTCTGAATGCAAATGCACGCCTCTATTTACAGATGTGTTTGTTAAAATAGGTGTGACTGTTTCACAGTTAGACAATTTGTTTTAATTTATCACATTGCTGCACAAAATAACACAAATGGATCACAGTTATATTGCTGTACTTAACAGCTACACACAATTAGCAGGTATACAGGCACCATGCTGTAAGCAGACAGTTTCTACATGCAGGCAATGTCTGGTAATGCTTGTTTATAGAAAACTGAAAAGGATTTTGGAAGGTTTTAAGATAATACGGTAAATTGATGACCAAACTCTATTATGTTTTTTTCAGCTAAATTCCACCATTTCAATCAAATCATGGTCTTAAGATGAAAATAATGTTTTCTTAGCAGTTACTTTAAACCTGACAGACACTATCACTTGAGGATATTTTTATTTATTCTTTTTTTTTTTTGCACATTCTTATTAATGCATATTGCATGCTTTTCCAGATGTGCCACACAGAAAATCCTGATATGATACATTGAAGTTTGTAGATGTAAAAAAAAAAAGGGAATGTTAATGTTTGAACGAAACTTTCAAATGACACTGAAATAACCTACAGTAAAATCTAGAACCGCCACAGCTGTATCTCATTACACATATAAAGTTTTATTTTTTTGTGTTTTTAGGGCCGGACATCCCATTTGTGGCGGTGTACAAGACTCAAAGAGATGCCGACAGTGAGACTCAGGAAAGAGAGTGTGAGTATTTCACCTGTTACTAAAGCTGCACATGAAATATGTTCCCGACGTTTTGAGTGTCCCAAAGGTCAAGAGCATAAAAATCACTGTGTCAGAAAGGATTCTTCCCTGCAGAATGATCACCTGAGGACTGAGTCACTGTATTTCTGCAAGCCAAGCCTGAAATGATGTTGGTAATCTCATTACATCCCAATGTGGCTACACTCATCACATTATGAGCAGCCCCAACAGCAATATCAGCATAATATAATGCAATTTTTGTCTTTAAGTAATAACATCAACCCTTCTGGATTATATTAAAAGCTGTACATGCCCCAGTAAATTATATCATAACCCAATGTGTTTGATTAACCTGATTAAGAATGTCAAACATTCAACCAGTGCATGGGTTTTATAGTAAAAACTGCAGACATGAATTTGTACCTCTTTGCATGTCAGGGCCCAACATGCTCTGCAGGGGGATATGGGGAGAATGTATCAACCGATCCCATCTCTAAGAAAACATTGTCACACCTAGCACCCAGTAACCACAGCTCTACTCTAGGATAGAAATTTCTGTGCTGTCTTTGCAGCTCTCAGCAGCTATCTGAATCACTCTTATCCTAAAACTCCTTGGCACACTTTTTTAGCTACGGTAAGTTTCTGAGAGGACTTTGGGAAACTTCATAAATGTGGGCCCAGAAATTGTAATGGTGACAAAACTGAGATTTCTCTGCAACTAAAATCCAGAGAAGAACAGGATATTTGAAGACTTTGGATTGAATCTTTACTGTTCCTATAGAGCATATAATAACTTTATATTTAGCCAATCACAGTTTCTTATAAAGGGGAGATCAAACTCTTTAGATAGGATTTTGTAGAATGCACTCAAGATTAGATTACATTATCTCTATTCCTAAAATTAAATTTACCTCAAATAACGTTATGTCCACTTCACCCCTACATAGAGAACATTATCCCAGTTTGACAGTTTTAGGTTTCTGACTAAGCAAGCTGGGATCTGCTAAAAATGCTGAGCATGCCAGCCCAACAATTAAGCTGCAGGTGTATCAAGTTTTTTTTTTAGTGAAGTACTGTAAAAGCTCTGACCTGATTATAGATTCATGAGCTGATGTCTCTTGCAGATTATATTGTCTGAGTCCCCTTCATGGCAGTCCAGTCAGCAGTATCCCTACAGAGACAAGGTCATTTTCATGAATGTATCTAAAATATATGCTGAAATACGATGAATGATGTGTGCAGTCCGTCTCCCCCTCCTCAGAAGCTGCGTAGGACATTTCCTTCCTGCAGCTTGTATCTGAATTTGTAAGTAGGAGCAGCTGTGGCAGCCGCTGAGCTGATTTTCCTTCTGCAAATGGCTTGTTTTCTGACGCCATGGCAGAAAACAATTCCAGTACATGGTCGCCGCTGCCCGTTAGACCTCGTCCGCTGAGACAGCCGTCGGTGACAAGTCTGTGTTGGACAAAGGAGCTGTGCTCAATGAATAAGAACAACTGCTTCCTTTTTTTTAGGAGAGAAGAGTTTCAAAATGTAGAAGGTTGCTTAGGAGCAAATCAGAGTTAGGCTTTGAACAGCAGTCGGCTGCTGCTTGTCGGGGTCATAAAGGTTGGGCCTACTGTTTAATTTATTTAATTCTGTTTCTGGTTGTTTGCTGTCTGCAGGTATTTTAGAGGTTTCTAAACTGGAGAGCAACGAGAACCTCAGGCTGACTCTCAACTCCATGCAGATGCCTACAGTGGAGTACAAGGAGATCAACATGGACGAATATAGTATGTGTTCCAGTTAGAAATATATGCAATGCCCTCCACAAGTATTGACACTCCTGGTAAAGAGAGTAAAAAAATAAATTTCAGGTATTTGATGTAGATCATCCACCGTAAGGATTCTGTCTAATGGTTTCTTCTCTCCAGTTCACCCTTCAGGTTTTCTTTAGGGTTTAGCTCAGAGGACAACAAGGCTATTTTTGTATCTGGGATACCGTTATCCCGGGACCTGCATAGGAAGGGACTTTAAGAATGATCATAACATTTATTTAAACCTTTTTGGCACCTACAACACCCCAATATTAGGGTTATAGTTAATCATAATTAACTTGTGAATGTTAGCCCTGGTCTGGTTTAGAGGCCAAAAAAATATTGAAAGTCCAGTTTTTCATTTAGGTAACAAGTAACAGATTTTCCAACTCTTATTTGCAAAAGATTCAATTCAATTCATTCTATTTATATAGCGCCAATAAAAACACGTCATCTCAAGGCACTTTACAGTTCAACCAGGTCATCCAGTCAAATTGATTAAAAGTTTTCTAGCTAAGGAAAACCAGTTGATTGCAACAACTCATTGACTCAACTACAATCCCTCACACTAAGCATGCTTGTAGCGACAGTGGAGAGGAAAAACTCCCTTTTAACAGGAAGATCTGTTCAGAGATCAAAAACAGTAAAATAGGCTTTTACAACAAGGTATAATTGGAGGCAGAATTACTTTGTATTGATTCATAATTTATGCATTAAGTATATATTTTACATTTTTTAAGATTGCAATTTGTGTGACCACTTTTGCAAAATATTTGCTGCTGTAACACCACAATTTCCTCATGGTGGGACAATAAAGAGATTTTCTGTTCTATTCTATATTGTTCTCTCTTGTTCAAAAAGTAATAATAGTTAGAAAAAAGGGACATTTTGAAGTGGAACATTTAATCAGGAATGTATAGGTCCTTATCCTACTTTTCTTGTCACATTTTCAGTTTCTTTAGATTTTTATGATTGACTGTCTGGGAGGATTTATGTTTGTAACAGATTTTTTTTAAATGGGTAAAATTACAATATATATAGACTCTACCCTAGTGGCATATTCTCTTGCACTTTCAATTTTGAAGTTACTAAGAGAAAACCTTGTTTGTCCTCCCACAGGAAAACCCAATGCAGCTGATCCCTAATTACATGTTTCTATTCCAACCAAATTATGCATCAGGGTTAGATTTATTAGGAATTATTTGGGTTAAGGAAGAGATTTTTACAACATTTCTGTGGGACTGGACTACTGTATATTAAGCAGAATCCATTTTATAAATCTTTACAAGGAGTTTCAATAAGTGGGGTGGATGCAATTCATTTTGATACAGAATACATTTATTATGCTAACATTTGTTTTACTCTGGGTTTCAGTCTTGTCTTTAAAGATCCTAAAACCCGCCGGCTTTGTGGATTCATCACACTATCCGCTCCTTCTGCTTGTGTACGTATCTGCATAAATATGAGATGAGAAGTATTTTCTACCATCCTCAGCTCTTTCACATGGTTTTATTTTTGGTTTGTTTGTTTTTATGGCTTGTTTTTGTTTGTTTAAAAGAAATAGAACAGTACCGAACCAATAAGCATCTAAAATTAGAGGAAACTGTCTAAAATCTTCGAAATGAGTTGCTTAATGAGCCCCTTTTACCAGCTCATTACATCAGTGTGTTGTCTGTGGTGTAGTGACGGGAACCCTGGCGGCCAATCGGTGTCAGAGCAGTTTGTCTTGGACTGGGCCACGGTTCTGGTGAGCAGCTTTGGTGCCATTGTGGTGCGCTGTGACGGTAGAGGCAGTGGCTTCCAGGGTACCAACGTTCTGCACCGGATCCATAAGAAGCTGGGCGTGTTTGAGGAACAGGATCAGACGGATGCTCTCAGGTACAAGCCTCTTTTCACTGCAGACAAGCAAGACTTTAAAATTAGACATTCACCAATCTAATGTGAATATCTGTATCAGTCCTAATATTAAAGAAGATGGCAGCCTGATCCATCAAAGCAGATCTATTAAGGCTATTTCTATGATATATCTAAGTTATGTTCAAAATCTCTTGAACAGTGATAGGGCTTACCCCTTTATAAGCATCTGTCTTTGCTTTAATCAATATGTTTGTTTTCAGGATGGAATTTGTATTAACACTATTTACTGTTTTTATAGCTTTTTTGACTTTAAATTAATCTCAGGTTACATTTTGTGAAATGAATGTGTACATCTATTCCTATTATCTGCTTTTGGAGAGCAGTTTGTAACAGCCTATTGATTAAAGTAAACAGAGCTCTGACATCAGAAAAGTGTCTGGATCAGCAGATATCTGAATTTAATTATCTGATTTGGATTGGAAATGTGGATCTCTATTTTATGATCATAATATTTCTTTGCAAATTTTGGTAAAATAAATACAACCTTGCCATCTGCCATATGGATTTTTAAATGACAAATATTAATATATCTGATAACTTTTGATAGTTTAAAACATTTCATTTCAAACTATTAAGAATGAGTCTGAGAAAATTTGATATTTAATTAAATCCTGTGTTAAAGCTTCAAATAGTTAGTTTTCACAGATTTTTCAGGCATTAATTTTTACATTACATGTTGTTGTTGTTATTTTATAGTCTTATTCTGAATGAGCCGTACGTGGACCAAACCAGGGTCGGAGCTTTCGGACAGGTAAGAGCCTTGGGGAGTTCTTCACCTCAATAAATCATCTTATTATGCAGGAGTTCATCAAAATCCAACAATTTCCTACTTTTCCATCCTTGTCTAAAACATAGAATACTTTCAATAAGTGCTATTTGGTTACATTCTTAGATAAAATCTGGATTACATCGTTATAAAACAAGGAAAAAACACAAAACCAAGTAGTAATGTTATCCGGTTGCTTTAGTTACGGTAATCTAAATTTAGTGCATCAGTTTCTCTATAAAGCAGTAATTTTACTGGAATATGGTACACATTTACACATTTTTTGGGCTTCTCAGTGGCGCAGTGGGTAGCACTGCTGCCCTGCAGCAAGAAGGTACCAGGCTGATTCCCGGCCTGGGATCTTTGTGCGTGGAGTTTGCATTTTCTCCCTGAGAATGCGTGAGTTCTTTCCGGGTACTCTGGCTTCCTCCCACAGTCTAAAAGCATGATTATTAGGTTAATTGGCTTCTCTAAATTCTCCTTAGCTGTGAGTGTGTGCATGAATGGCTGTCCTGTTGTCTCTGTGTTGCACTGCGATGGACTGGCGACCTGTCCAGGGTGTACCCCGCCTCCTGCCCGTAGACAGCTGGAGCACCAGCACCCGTCACAACCCGGCTTGGGATAAGCGTGACAGAAGATGGATGGATGGATGGATGGATGGATGAATGGATGGATGGATGGATGGATGGATGGATGGATGGATGGATGGATGGATGGATGGATGGATGGATGGATGGATGGATGGATGGATGGATGGATGGATGGATGGATGGATGGATGGGTATGTGGGTGGGTGGGTGGGTTGGTGGTACACATTTATATACAAAGCCTGATTATATACGTGTTAAAAACAGAGTACTGATTTTAACCGGCTTCCCTTTTTACTATATTCAATACGACAGTTTCCCCCCTCCCGTAGCTATTGTGACTTTGTGCCCCTCATCATTCCTTCTCTGGCTGCGGACCACCTCGGCTTACATGCCGGTATAACCATGGTTTCTTTAAAATAACTTCACTGAACCTGATGTACCTCGCATTAGAGCTATATTTCCTTTCTTTACCTTAATAATGCCTGAAAAATTCCTCACCAGATGCATCAGGTAGCGCCTGACCCCATATTCTCCATTATATGGAGAATACCCAGTTTGGTTTGTAAGTTTGGTTTTAGCCAATCATAGTAACAAATGAAAATGTGGATTCATTTGTGGAAATCTTGGATTCTAACCAAACAGATATGATAGAAGCAGCTATGCGTACGTACTGGTTTGGCTGTGAGCTCGGCAGCTCTTGTTTTAATCACTGTGTTTTCAGTCTAAAACCATGTCACTGCAACATTATTGGCCGACTCATGCTGGGTCAGCCATGAGTAAGACAGATAGATTCACTTACACACACACACCTCTACTGCCCTATTTTATCTGTATTTAGTGTCTATTTTAATCATTACATGCTCACACAGTCCATTATTTCATTATATATATTTTTCTGTATAACAACATGGGGGAAAATCCTCTGAATCATAAAAGTCTGGGTTGAAATGTCAGTTTTTTTCTCTGGATATAATGGAAAATGACTGTCCTATTATCAACTCAAGAGAAACGATACAGAAATAATTCAGTCCTTCAGAGAAAGAATGGTGAACATAATATGAGGAAACAGCTTTGGGATTGGGGCTTTCTCAAGCAAACCAGTCCTGCACAGTCACTGCTTAACAAATATTAGTACTCAGACCCAGACCGCAGTGTCTGGAACGTAGAATTCACTTCATGTTTCAGCTCTTGTATTTACGCCTCTCGCTTGTTTTTGTGTGATAACACAGAGTTGTTGTTCCTCAGGTGTATGGAGGCTACGTGACCAGCCTGTTACTCAGCGGTGAGGAGTCTCCACTAAAATGCGGAGCTATCCTCTCACCCATCATCGACTTTGAATTATATGGTAAGCACTTCATTCTTTTTTATTTTTATCTCCGCTCTCAAATGCAAAAAGTTCCAATCTCTTCTGCATGTGTTGATGTAAGTCATCAGAACTGTCAGCGCTCAGCCAGAGCTGCCAGAATATACTGGAAGGGAAAAATAAAGACCAATAGCATTTTTAGCACCTTTACCCCTTTCTGGGAGTCTGGATTCAATGTGATGGAGCAGTTGCACTTGGAACCCAATCATACAGCACCCTCACCTCATCTGTCTGAGGAATATAACCTGAGAGATAAAGTATGAGGCATGTACCAGGAGAGAGATGGTTGGAAAGACGGCGCTGTTTTAGTTGCGGGAATACAGAGGCAGGAAACTGTAAATTAAAGTAGGATCTGTGTGTCACTGTGTGACCGTTTCCCATCAGTATAGTTCCTCTAACAGTGCAAATATTCCTACTGGACTTTGTATAAATGTTGACATAAAAACAAGTCAAAATCCTTCACGTTTTTCTTAAATGTACCTGTTTATTAATTAAAGTAATAAATAATATTCAATAAAGAAATATAAATATTAATTTAAGCAATAAGTAAATAAGACTGACATGTTTGATTTTGTGTATTAAATGTAATCCACATATGGTGTGGTGTTCTTTGGGGCTCAAAGGGTTAAATGTTAGAGCAGAGGCTTATTTATTATTGGCTGCCTCTCACCCCTGATTATTAAGCTGATTTTTCTGGACAGTTCCCCTGGTGTTCTGTAGTTTTCTATTAATGTCAAACCTTTGTAGGTCTGGAGATTTATGCGTATCAATTTTCTCTCAGCAAGTTGTCCTAAATAGTTTAACCCATACCAAAAATCAACTTTTTTTGCATATATGTGTCAGATGTTGGTAACGCTAACACTACTTCACCATATGTTTACTCAAATGAAGCCAAAAAGTTGCCTTCCAAGAGATTACTCAAGTGAGAGTAAAAAAGGGTATTTGGTAAAAAGGCAATTTATGTAATCCATCATAACATCTAACATATAAAATTATGTAATTAAGATAGACCAAAACATTAAGTTATTTGTAACTTATGTTATTTTAAAATATTATAATAAATTAAACAAAAATGTAAAAAAAAAAAAAAACTATTCCAGGCAGAACAGAAACTTTTCCAAACCACTTTTCTTTCTAACATTAAATTAGTGAGACAGTTACTCCTTACTGTAGATTAGCTTGACCTCTAAATGTCATAATTTCAGTTCAATTCATTCAGTTTATTTATATAGCACAAAGCACACTACATGTGAATTGGAGGCACTTTACAGACAGACAGACAGATTGACATATTTGGTTAGAATAACCACTTGAATACATCCTCATTGACTTGCAAGACATGCTGCTCCTGGATGAGCTTGCAGGGATATTTCTGGCTTGCATTTTGTCCTCAACTCTTCAGCAATCTCTCCCAAAAAGCATGCATTTAAGTTGGCTTGCCTACAAAAACAAGGAAACTTATTCTGAAATAACGAATGTTTTGAAACACTTTCTTTTTAATTATTTACCATGGATGCTGTAGGCAACATTTTAGTGAGTAGAACAACAGAAACGTAAAAGTAAAAAGCATGGTGTTGTAAGACTACTCCTAAAATTATATTTTTATCAAAAAGTTACTCAATTAACTTTGAGTAAATATACCTAAATATTACCCAGATTCGTATGCTAAATAAGCCTGGCCAAAGGGGGACTAGTTTATGGTACTCTGTATTTCTGTTTTACTTTTATATATGAATTTCTTTCATTTTACAAGATTTGTTTTAAAACCGTGTTAGTGCTGCCCTCTTGGGGTTGAACGTCGGGTATTGCAGGTAAATTCACCCACTGGTTGAAACGTTACATGCCTCATCCATTGGCTGATGCTAATGTCATCATACTTACATTTAGCTCCGCCCCTCAGTCTTTCATTACTGCTCACTTTGGTGGCAAAATAAGAGTGAGTTACGCTTTAAAGGCCCAAAAGTGTTTTATCTGTGGTGAATGTGTCCTCACAAAACTGTGAGTAACTGAGTTTTCTTTTCAGCTTCTGCTTTTTCTGAGAGATATCTTGGGCTGCCTAAACCAGATCCAAGAGCATACACGGTAGGATTTCACTGCAGGACCTCTACTCTCTTTACCTGTGATTAACTCAACAAAACAACAACAAAAATATTTGGCTTGTTCCTTTTAGATGGCAAATTTAGCACACAGAGCATCTCAGTTCATGGATAAGAAGTTTCTTATCATTCACCCAACAGCTGATGGTAAGGCTGCAAAATGAAATTTTTTCCTCTTTAAAGTTCAGCAAAACACAATGCATCCATCTGATTTTTATGCTTTTGTTTTCTCAGAAAAAGTCCACTTCCAACACACAGCGAAATTCATCTCCCAGCTCATCAGTGAAAAGGCCAACTACACCTTGCAGGTATGTAATTTCCTTTAGAAATCAGTGTTATATATTTAAGCCTTTAGGAGGTTTCTGATTCCTGCAATAGCAGCCACCACCTTTTCTTTATATCAAGGTTTTTGGTTTTTATACAGATATATTTATTGTCTGCTCTAGTTAACTTTATATATATATTTGAGCTTATTGTGATTAAAAAACATTTTGGTATATGATTGGATGTATTTCAAGGTGCTAAAAAAACTTTTACATAATTAACAGTTGTACAATAGAGTACTGTGTTAAGTTCCAGTTTAGCAAACAAGCCTTTAAATAGTGGTATTAATTTTCTCTATAAACCCATACTAAGGAGAAATCAAAAAGTTGTTGAAAATTCATATCAAGCACATATCTCCAATGGATATGTGGTTTGGATGTTTTATAAGGGATTACAATCATTGAGTAATGCTTCATTGAAAGGTTTAAGTTTTGGGAAAACCTAACAAGTATTTATTCACCAAACTGGTTTTGTGTTGAGTGTTAGAAGATTTTTTCAAGATGCCGTTGCCCCAAAATTCAAAATTACGCAAAAATCCTTCACTATACCTTTATCTAATTTAAGCCTCCTTCCCACTGAAATTTGCGGGTTTACACAGGATTTTCATATAGGGGCTGAACCGCTAACAATCGGCATTTGGCTCCATTCCCATGGGCAAAAAAAGTTGGGTCTGATCCCCCGCTGGCAAGCTGCTTGGCCTCTGTCCCCACTGCTGCGTGTCTGGTGACGCCATCACACTGGGTTAGTGTTGATTCTGTCACCAGAATGACAAATCTGGAAAGTAAACAATGAAGAGAAACATGTAAAGAAGCCAGGGTGTAGTGTGCTTCATTGTTTTGTTCATTATTTTGGCTTTTTATATCAGACGTTACTGCCGCGATGCGTTGACATCCATACATTGCACCCAAGGTGAAACCTGGTCAGACCAGTATACCCATAGTCAATACCAGTTTATCCCTTTTGTTTATCTCTTTAGTTTTGTATGAAAAATACACTTTACCTCAACGGGCGGGTATCCCCTTAGTCATGTAGAACAAACTATTAAATAACTTGCTTTTTTGTGTTTTTTAAATCGTATGGTGGACTGACCTTAAATAGTTTTTTTTTTGTACATGACTTAAGGGATACACGCCCGTCGAGGTGGTTTAAAGTCAATATTGTCGTACAAAACTAAACGGATAAACGCAAATCTGACGTCGTGTGTATTAACTATGGGTACGCTGGTCTGACGAGGTATGGTGATCTGACAGAACACCGGTCAGATTGCTCCACAGTATGCCAATCGGAGCCAGGCAGTTTTAAGAAGATTTTATCTCGGGTCGCTTGCCGAGTCATTGACATGGGTCAGTAAGCCGTTCACACTGCCACTAAAAGCTGATGTTTTTGGGTTACAGGAGTATATTTGGAGCATTTGTTCTATTAGATTAGAAAAAAATAATCTTGATGTATATAATGGACCAATCTGAGTTTTATATTTGGTGCTGATTGTATAATTATATGTAAAATGATTTATTTAAAATGCAGCTGTAGAAACCAAATATGGGTCTAGGGATAAAATTTGAGCCTTTTAAACTCATCCTGTTCTTGTTCTTACTGTTCTCTCTCTCAGATCTACCCAGACGAGGGCCACTTTATCCACAGCGAAGCAACAAGGCAGCACCTGAGTCAGTCCCTGGTGAATTTCTTCGAGGAGTGCTTCAGGCTACCAGAAAGTGTGTTTGAGGAGGATTTGGAAGAGGAGGTTGAAGATGAGGGTTAGATTGTCTTCGACAGGCTCCCAACCTCCTTTTTCTCTCCCCTTTCATTTGGTCATCAACATTCCCTCTGTCTTGTATCTGTGCTCAAGCACGGCCAAGTTGTCCATATATGTTTAACTCGCAATCTGCAGTGCCATCCGGCAGACGGATCTAACTATAACCTCAATCGTCCCTTGTTCATCCAGAGCCCTGACTTGGATTTTAAAAAGGCCCACGGAGGTAAAAATGACAGATGATGTTTTGAAATACACTGAAAAGAAGCAGACTCCTTTACAGCCGGATGGACATCTTTAAAAGCAATGGAGAGAATGCATAAGCCTACACAGACTTTCAAGATGTGATGAGAGGAAGCACGTTATAGCACACAACCTTTGGGCTTGTATATAAATAAAATTCACATCCCTGGCGCTGACTGGCAGTGTTCATAAGGGGTGTCTGGAACTGTGTGGATAAAGGGAACTTGAATATTTTTAAAGTTGTGATGAACTTTTCATGGACTGTGGTTGTGTATCTGTTGTTCTTAACAGTATGTAAAATAGCACACAAATCCTCATCCAGCTGTTTTTCCTTTAAGTGTTGTTTGCCTCAATAATGCTGGTTTTATCCTTTAGGTTCGTACCGATTACAGTTATGCTGAGGTCTTTGACAAGCAAATGTCTAACGGGAAAGAAATAAGCCATTTTTGTTTGGGATTATTAATTGGACAAAGTTGATTTTGTTTTCATCCAGTATTGTTTTGTTTTTTATTCACGGTGCCTTACTTTATCAGAAAACAAAGCTTAATTTATCAAAAAAAAAACACTAAGATATTTGGGGTTCATAACTTCAACACTATGAGATTTTTTTTGTTAATTTCAGTTAGTCTCCATCTGACTGTTTAAATTATTAAAAAGCATTTATACATGGAGTTTAGACAAAAAGATCAATATTTTCTTTCAAAAACAAAATATATCTTTAAGTTGAAAGGGGATTAGGGTCACTGTGAAAAAAAAAAAAGATGTCTGACTTTCTTAGCCTTTCATAGGTAAGTGATGCTAATTAGCTTCATACCTGTAATATCTAAATACAGACAGGCAGGTGAATATGTATCCTACTGAGGACACAGTTCAGATTTGCTGTGATCTTATCAAGAGGTTAAAAGTGAAAACTAAACATTTTTCAAATAAAGCCTGGTTTATGCCTAATTATGTCTCTTTAAAACCTACGCCTCTCTGCATGGCCTGATTTACCAGACAGAGGAATATTTGTAACTACGAGGAAAGCTGCTTGCAGAAAAACATGGTGGACGAGCGACAGCTTCTGCAAGCAAGAGTTTGCAAATACAAACATCTACGGGTATCTTATAATTTGGCCCATAAATATGACCAGGATCAGCAGCTTATAAAAAACTCTGAAGGAAATAACTTACTCTTGGATTAAATAATGTGGCTTTGAGTTGGAAACAGTGTGTTTTCCTCTTAAACGTGTCGAGTGGTCCTGTTAGCTTACGGTCTGCCATGCACGCCCCTCTAGAGTCGGCCAGAATAGATCTAGGAGGAAAAGCCATGTGGAGTATAAAACCTGCAGACACTGCAGTCCATGCATGAGTCAAAGACAAGTTAGCACAGTGGTCTAAGATTTAGCAAATTAACTCACTAAATTATTTAAATCTACACAAGGTTATGCTATATACACATACACACATACATAAATATATACATACGTGTGTGTGTTGTTTTTTTCTGATTTGGGGTTTGAAGCTTTTTATTGGCACTAGGCAATTAAAGAATGGAAATAATACAATCATTTTCATGCAATTGTATCCATTTTAAATTATGTGCATGTATTTCTACTATGGCATATCAAATCCAAGTATTAAATTATAGGAAATAAGCATACAGAATTTCATATGGTAACACAACACTTAGATAAAAGCTTCTGGGAGTGCACAGTAAAGGGATTTCTCAGTATTTGAACTACTTACATGATGAATCCATAATGCTTTTTCAAAATCATATTTGGACTCGATATCAAAGTGTTGTTCATTGTTGGGTAGAGAAGCAAAAAAGTGTTCTGAGGAAAATTGGTTCCACTTTTGCATATTTTGAACAAGTAAAACGAAAACATAGCGACCGAGTGTTGAAATAGAATCAGTGAGAAAGGAAAGCAGCCATTTCAAATTGTACATTTAAATCCGGCAATCTGAAAATGCTTTTCAAATTGAACATTTTTAATTGAATTATTAAACATGACATCTAAACTGTGTTTATTAATCAATTATTAAATACCGGAATTTGAAAATGTGTTTTCAAATCCTATTTCTAAATGTAAATTTTAAAAAAAACAAAATTCATAAATATGTTTATGAATACCTATGCTAGTCACACATTAAAAAAAGGTATTCCTTATTCCATTTTCTTTTTGCTTCATAACCATTCCTTTTACCTTTTCCGTGACCCGTTTGGTCCCTGAGCAAACTGGAAACCAGTTAAGCTCTGTCATTGGTTAGGCTGCCACACTTGGTTAATAAAACGACCAATGAGGGAGCTGGTTACAGCTGAGGAGAAACTGTGATTGGTTAAACTGGTTTCCAGTTTGCTCAGGGACCAGAAGTGTCAGAGAAAAGGTAAATAGGGAGGGGAAAGCAAAAACAAAATACAATTTCAAAAAGGATTTGAAAATGAAAGATGAAAAATAAAATGCAATAATGAATAACCTTTTTAAATTTGTAATTAAAATACTAAAAATAATTACAAAATGACATTCCGGCAGAGGTTATGCTGTAATAAAATATGATTGATGTCTTACCTAAAGTCCTAACAAAAGTGGATATAAAATTCAGACATTACAGTGTTTAATACTTTTACTTCCTCTTTAAACGTGACTCTAATCCTCTTTCACAACAGACATTGTTGCACATATTCTATCAGCTAAAAGTTAAAAAACTTTGCTTTAGATATCTTCTAGTTCTGTTACCTTTATTCTGCTAACCCTGAGCTTGGTGAAGCCTGGTTTAATTTGCACAAGATGTCTTTTTCACTGTTGATGATATTTTTATTTCCTTCTATAGTATTTATAACTTTCTGTCACTGCAGGATTTAGCTTTTGTTTTTTATTGGGCCACATGAGATATTTAACTAGGATTCTATGTTGATGCCAATCTATTCTTGTTTTCTAAAATGTTAGAAATTAGCGTAATTTTAATGCCCCTCTTTCCAAATCAAAGCTTATTTTTGGGTTTGCCCTTTGGCTTTTAATGATTTTAATAATTTTTTTTTTTATTAATATTTTCTTTTATTTTGAAAACTGGAAGTCTGTCAAAGGAGGGTTACCTTTAACTTTTAGCCACTTCAAATGGCTAATACTGTAATACAACCTTAGTTTTATGTCTCTTTTACACAGGGATCCTAAATAACAAGTCCTCTAAGGTCATCTTGGAAATAAATGTATTTAGGCACAAGTTTATTTATACCATATTTTACCATATTTTTCCTGCACTGATGTGCATGATCAGAGGTCCTTTGCTGCACTTCCCTTAGTTCATCATACATTTTGACATGCTGAATGTTTCTTACAGAACTGCATAAAATATGTTTGCAGTAGTATTGTGATTGAGATCACGGTCTCGTTAGCTTGATGTGTAAATGTTCTAATATCATTTTATTCTGAAAAGAAAAAAACTATGTTACACGAGTGTTATTAGTGCATTACATACTTTGGACGTTAACATTGGGTTGATCATTTTTGTTCTCCTGTTGCCGTCTTTGAACTGAGGTGAAGTGGACTCTAAATGGCCAATGGAAACAAACTTTCTTTCGATACGTGGAGGACTTTTTCAAAGATGTTCAACTTTGTTATCCAAAGCATAAAGAGAGGTCTTTGGCAGACTGTGGCATGAAAGTAAATGTTAGAATAAAAAAAAAGTAGATATTTTATCAGTCATAAATGTTTTGGCTTTTTTTTTTTTTAAGAATGCTGGAGTTCATCCATAATACATTTTCTTCACCAAGCATTATTTCCCTACAGCAGAGCACTTGTACTGCATTGTTTTCAACAAACACTTTACAACATAAATAAAAACTGCACCACAACAGCCAATGGTTAACGTAGGAACATTATCCATTAGAGGCACTGGAGTAACAGCCGCTCAATATTTCCAAATATAAAGGCCCAGTTCTTACATCAGAACAAAACAATGAGGTTAATGTGATTGTGTGTTTGTTTTTTGAGTCATGGTAGCATTATAATCATTTCTTTACAGGAGCATTATCCAGATTATCATCATGGCAGTCTAATTTACTTTCCTTTCAGTCTGTAAGAAATCCTGAGTCATCTGAAACCATCTCCTGCACCAAAGAAACTAAACTAAACAAAGAAAACCTTATGAGATCATGCTTTTAGAAACTTTTACAAAACCAAGTGTTTGGTTTAGTCTCATGCTGTGTTTCAGTGCAATGAGATGTGTTAGAAACCAGCCTGTAAAACCTGTCATCCAGCAAATGTAGTCCTTATTACTTTGGTGACATGGTGTAAATTCGTTTTATGCCTTGTTGCCAAAGTATTGCATCATAAAAAACAAACTTTTATGGTGTTTGTGGTGTTATTTACCTTTTTTAAACATCTTTGCCATTTTGGCTGTAAAATGGAGCTCTCTGCTATGGGGGTCCTTATCTCCAAACCATGAAAAAATAGTTTGTATAAAGCCTACTGAAAAGAGATGTCGTTTTATGAGTAATAAATGTATAGGGGCTTGAGGTCTTCAATTATTTTGGGCTGATATGGATAAAAATAATTTGTTTCAGATGAGTCTGTTGTCCTTGAGACACTATTTTAATACTATTTAAACAAATCTTCAAGCCCCTAGACTAAAATTCTAGTAAGCCCTATGAAACTACTTACTGTAAAAGCTCTAAAATAGAAGTAAAACAGAATAAAATGGGAAAGTGAACGTATGAAATAGACAAGATGGCAAACATAACTGTGAAAATGGTCATTTAACTGCCTTAACAGGTTTAAGAAACTACTTCAAATGATCCCAGCTGGGACTAAAAGCTATTCATTTAATAAACTTCAGCCATTAAAGATAAAATTAAAAAAGGCAAAGTAAAGAATTAAAAGGCAAACTGGTTCCGCTCAAAACAAAACAGGATCAGTCAGTGAATTAAATCAGACTTAATCACCAAGTGATTTACTTCCATCTTTACATAAAACAAAAAGGATCAGTCAGTGAATTAAATCAGACTTAATCACCAAGTGATTTACTTCCATCTTTACATAAACAGCGGTTATTGTTTCAGTCTTCAGAAAACCTTTTGTCTTTAAGCAACCAAAAGCAAAAAGTCACAAGCAATAAAATCCATGTTCCCACAGCAGGTATCAATGCTTGACTTTGATCTTTGGATACAATATATTAAAGTGGTTCAACTCTGGTTTTTTATTTTAAATTAAAAAGATTAATTTCGGTTGCATTTACTGTATTTTCAAAGCAGGCAAAAAAAGCAATCCAAATCCAGTCTTTGGCAGCTCAGAAACATATTCATTTGTTTTGAAAGCTTCTCTTATCGGTCATTTCATCCTACTTTTACAGCCCTGCCCTGCCTCCAAACAGATTCCCCTATAAAGGAGCTGCAGTCACTGCTACACAAAATGCCAACTATAAATAGTCGTGCCCTGTCTTTTCTGACCTTTCCTTTCCTTCATCTTTTTATGATATGCTCATGCTATTGTTGGCTCTGAATTTTCTCTGAATATTGATACAAAGACATTCATATTTATTCTTACATAAATATGAATGTCTTTGTATCAATATTACACTGAAAAAATACTTTCAGCGCTTGTTAGAGGTTATATGGTGCGTTCACATCGAACATGTTTTAGACTTCGACCACACATATATTTTTTCATTTTGTAAAGTGTAAACAAAAAGAAATTTCGTTTAGAACAGCTTTCTAGTCAATATCATTGTTTGAAGTGCAGCGTTGATAAGGTAAGCAGCAGTTGTTGTTGAATTGCTTCTCCTGGCTCAGGGGAGGAAGAGGACAATGATGATGTTTTGGGCGTCAAAGCGTCTGATTAAAATGCAAAATTTGTGTGTGTGTGTGCGTGTGGGGGGGTGTTGCTGAGAGATCCAGCCGTGCGTCTGACCGTTCTGCTGTCCGAGCATTCAACAATTAGAGTGTTCAACGCTGGAGTTCAGAAATGTTAA